TATTGAAGATATACTCCTAAGTGAAATAAATAAGTCCCACATGTGTAAATACCAAATAGTTTCCCTGGTGTGAATATTCTGCAACAATGCATAAGATTCTAATAAGATTACTGACATTTAGAAATGGGAGGAAAGGAGCTAAAGGTGTAGGGAAGGTGTGATACGTAGGGGAAGAACAAAAAGGGAAAAGAAAAAAATGTGAGAGAATGAAAAGATGAAAATAAAGTGTTTGTAGATGGGGAGGGGAGGAGGGGGTGAAGGGAGGGCAGAGGTAAGGGGAAAAAATGAGAATCAAGACTTGCCATGTAAAGGTACATGATCCCAACAATGAATGTAACTGTACTGTATCCCTAAATGTACCAATAAACTCAATAAAAAAAAAATAGAATGTTTCTTTGGGTTAACTACTATAAAGATTTTATTGTTGCTAAAGTGCTTTCTTTTTGTCAAAACCCAAGAAGGTGATTTAGAACTTCTTACAGCTTCTGTATTGTAGAAATTCTGTAAAATACTGCTCAATTAGAGAAGTCGAATGAGTTTTACTCCATTCCTAAAGTTGCAACAGAACTGTTCCAAGGTCCAGCCAATGTCTGGGGTCCATCTGGGAAAGCGCAAACATTCTCTCCAAACATTTTGAAGCCCACATCAAGGATAGAAGAAATAGTAGAATTTCATACTATCACAGCCTTTTCCAAAAAAACAATTTAAATGTTAACATAAGAGTCCATCTTTCCCTTCTTCACTCTAGCATGCATTGAGTATAGCTCTGTTGCACAAGTTGTTTTATCACTGTTAATGTATATACCTGCCTCCTTTCTGGACTATGCTTTCCTTGAATTTAATGATGATTTTTATCCAGCTTTGTATCCTCACTGCTTAGCCCAGAACTACCATTATCAATATCTTCTACTACTGTCTTCAGTGCAAAATAATGGGTACTTGAAAGATTGTCCCTTTAAGTATCTATAAACCCTATATAAAATAAAATGTTTACACCTATTTACAAATGAAGAACCCAAGCTCAGCACGGTACAGCGCCTTGCAAAATAAAATTTTGTTAGTAAATGGCAAAGCCCACATTCGAAACAAAGTATGACCCAAAGCCAGCGGTTGTCCTTGTCATCCTATGCTGCCTCCTGGCACATGGCAGGCAGCAAGTCGAGTGTTTCATAGACATTTTTTCTCACTTTGTGTTCAACCGTGAGAGTTAGCTGTTATTTTTCTTCCATTTTGCAGGAGAGACAACTGAGACTTCCACAGATAAATGTGGAGGATGCTCCGTACATGTTTACAGACTGAGTGAATAAAATATTTCCTGGACAGTACTGGGAGGGAGTCAAGGCTAACCGGGAGAAAACACCGAGGATGGCTGCACCTCTCACCAATACCTCAACACAAGCTGAGCTGTGTAAATCGAAGACCTAGGTCTCTGAGCAGCATGATTTCTTTAAAATGTGGATACCTGGATCGTTAATTTTAAAGGCAGAAGCACTACATACCTACAAATATCATTTCTATAATCCAAGTTGCTTTTATTTACAATAATTTTTCTAGGTTATTTATGATAAGAATTCTGTCCACCAATTTTCAACATAAAAACCTGAAGTTACTCTGAAAGTCATGTGAAAAGATCCTGCCTTTAAAAGAATCTGTATTTTCAAGCAATAAAGACATGACTTCTGTCATGATAACAGTCAAGATGGGTTAAGTCACACTGTGGTAACAACTCAGATCCCCAGAGGGGATTTGGGCCTGGAGAGGACTTTGCAAGAGTAAAACTTTGTTCAGCAACCAGACAATCAGAACAATGAGGGCAGCTGAGCTCTGGGAGCTGCCAGCATTCTGGGTTGTTCCAGTTAGCAAATAAGCTCGAGACAGTCAAATATGGGCACATTTTAATGTTCCTCCCCAGAAAAAAATAGACATCACTTTTGAAGATGTTTCATTGGGCAGCAAAAGTCACGTGGTCACATCTACCAGCAAAGAGATGCAAAAGTCCCAGAGGAGGAGACTGGAAATTTGGTGCACTGTGATAATATCTACCATAGAGTGAAAAAAATGTTTACAGAGTTTGAGTTCTCTTATATTAGTAAAAAAAAAAGAATGAAACATTTTCCCTTTTTTATTTCTACCTCTTACTAGGGAAGACAGAAGGAAATCGATTAATTTCATTGAATGGGTCTTCAACATTCTGGAAAAGGTTGCTAGAACTTCCAGAATTTTGCAAATAGCAATATATATCTTATTCTAGGTTTTTCCAACATTACGTTACTTGGAGAAAATGTTAGCCCTTGGAAGGAGACTGGGCAGCTAGAAACACTTAACATTTGCTTGCTAATTTGCCATTTGCAAAGTGCTTGAGCAGCTAATTCCATTCTTACATTGACCTGTTGAAGTTGGTATGGGAATTGTCATGCTTATTTTAGAGGTGAAACTACTGAACTACAAAGAGGCCAAGGCCATATTATTATATTTGCAACTACTAAATAGCTTAGTGGGAAAAAAGTCAAAATCCTTAACCTGCAGACCAGTTTTCCCGCTACGTCACAATTCCACCTCACCACATAACTGGGCAAGCTCCTCGCTCCATCTGCTGAGAGAATTACCATGGAAGGAAATTGCCCCTAAAGATAGACATAATTTTTTTGTTGTGATAGCTTCAATTTACTAGTGTTTGCACAGAAACAGTACACCAAGTTAAGAGCCTACTGTGAAAGACAAGCTGAAATCAATTCAAGTGATTTTTACAAATATGACTCTATCTACAGGCAGATGAAAGATAAATAAAATATAACAAGCTTACTGGATCAGCTTTCACACTGACTTTCAGCTCACCTGAAGTGGGCCAGAGCTTCAGACCTGACACTGGCTTTTACTGCTTCAACGAAAGTGTGTCAGTGACAGAGGCGGCCACCTTCGTGTGCCAGTCCCTGTGTCAGTTCTGTTCACACGGCTATGCTCTGTGAACACGTCCCTCATGTATGGGAAAATTTCAGAGGGCTTCCAATAAAGCTGATCATTTTAAGATGAGCAGACACTGGAATTGTTTTACATAAATCAAGGGGAAGTGTCTTTGGATTCGCTATCTGGAGAAGCAATGCTGAAAAACACAAATAAGCCCCCTAGTCACTTTTGTCAATTTGGTTGTCACTCATTTTGAAAGCGGGAGGACTCACCTCTCTGTACTGTTGAGGCATCATGATAATCTCTGTTTACTAAATGGGAGAAAAACATAATTAATTCCTAAGTGCTGCTCCTCATCTTAACAGCACTTTAACCCAGCTTCTAGCAGAACTGCCTATGCAAAAGAGGTATCTTGTTTGGCAATGATTTTGTTTATGAATCTGCGTTCCTTCCCTCGGGAAATGGTAATGATGATTATACTTTGTCGAAATACTATAAGTGAAAGACAAACTAGACAGAATAAGCAAATAATGGGGAAGTGTCTACAAGAAAAAAAAATCCAATACTGGACATACTGCTTTGATTAAGTTTATACTAGTATCGGTGTGGGATCAAAAACTTGATTATCTAACTTAATCTTATTTACAAAGGAAGTTTCCACGATATATTTTGTTACTTACCATTTAGGTAAAAGGAGAAGGAAAAAAATTCATTCAGATAGCTGAAATTAGAATTTTGTGAGACAAAATGTCACAGTTTTAAAACTGGAACATTCAGCAGTCTATACTCTGATAAGGACATGTTTGGTTCAAGTCAAGGAATTTTCTTTCAAGGAAAACAATGGAGCAGAAGATGAAGAAACTAACCACTGAAAGTATTGCAGGTAATGGACACTTTAATTATCATACACCGTTCTCATAACAATCTCAAAAAGTAGGCATTATTACCTGTGCATTATACTTAAAAATCAAAGATCCACACATACACCAATCTCTTGACAAAGGTCATGCAAAAAATCAGCGACGGAGCCTACTGGATTCCTACTGAATTCAGCTCCAACACCCTGTCTTTCTTTACATCACTTAGCCATTGTGGTCTCACAGCATTTTGGAAAGAGATGTGTGGTTATTTCAATGATGAGGGCTTCAATTCTTATTCCAATCTGAGTACTATTCTTTAAGCCGGAAACTAATTAATGGGAGAAAATATTTTACATACCATTTCTGATTACAACTACCCTGAAACTATATCTCTTCAGTTTCCCCTATCTGAGCCACTGTGAAAGATACTTTATTTTCTGGGGTAGCACTGCTCACTGTGAGAATCATTATCACGTGTACTGACAGGACTGCAAGGGATCATCAATAATAGTAAGACCTGAGACGTATTTATTCTGGGTATTTAACGTTTTGAGAGGTTTAACTGGAACACCTTTCAGAAAACCACTGCTTATGTTTATCTTCGATTTGAAGCAATACACCTAGAGACTTGAAAATTCCCTCTTCAGGCACAGGCATTATGTGCCCCAAGGCCAAGGTGCAAACATCGGCAGGTGCAGTTCCGGATTTTACCTGAAGATGGCATCCATCCCAAAGCTGTAAGTGGTTTGGATGAGGACTCTCTCCAGATTGCCAAGCACCGTCATAAAATCTTTTCTACTGACTGGGAAATGTGTGCCATGTATAGTAAATGAGTCTTCTTTAAGTGACAAGACATTAATGTACTCTTCAGATGGCTGCAGATACACCTCCTCTTGGGCCGTGCTGATTCTCAAGTCATTTCCCTAAAAGAAAGAAAATGTGTAAGGGTGAAACTGAAAAGAGGGCCTGGAAAGGTAAAACATATCGGCATTTGGACCTTCATCCTGTGAATGACCTTTGGGAGGTTTCTAATTTCAGGTGGCTTTTCCTGTCATTCGGCATATTTCTGGCACGCATGAAGAGATGGTGACGCAATCTCAAGATTAGCCTTTCCAGTGCACTGAAAAGTACAAGTTTCTTGGTTTTGCACGATCTTATTTCTCACATTAACTAAAGTTATAGTTCCCTGGCAGTGCAGATACAAATATGCAATTTACATACATATACAAAGTTATAGATTTCATAAATGTTATTTTTTGGTGGGTGTGAGCTGTAGAAAATAATAGGGAAGGAAATTTTAATTAAGTTATTATTTTATTTATTTATTTGTTTGTTTGTTTGTTTGTTTGTTTGTTTATTGGTACCGGGGATTGAACTCGGGTCCTTGCACTTGCAAGGCAGGCCACCAAACCGCTGAGCTAAATCCCCAGCCCCTAAGTTATTATTTTAAAGGACTACATAGGGAGGAAAGAGTAAGAAAAGGCCTGTGATCTAGTGTTCACAATGGGATAGTGGTAATCTAAGGCGTGTACAGATTGAACCAGGACACTTGACAGTCTTGGTTAATTCATATTAATGGTGTACAATTCCCCATGATATAAACGTAGATATGCATGCATATGTTTAAATGTGTGTGACTGTGTGCAGGTAGCTGTATCTGCATTGGTATCTGCACCTATCCATTCCAGACCACGTCATCCGATTCAGGAACATATGCATTGTGAGAAAAGGATCTTGGCCCTGATTCACATGCGTGGAATGTTCCAGACACCAGAGTCCGGTGCTCCATCTCCACCTCCCAGTTCAGAGCCACGGATGTGCAGGCCTGTGGGTGCCCGCACATGTGCATGACTGTTTGGGTGAGGGGAGGCATCACTGGAAAAAGGGGGCATACGAAGGGGTGGGAGAGGCCTCTAAGCCAGCCCTAGCCTTCCAGGACTTGGGAAATCCAGGAAGAAGCTTTGCCTGAATATCTTCCTCACCTAAATTAGAATTCTGAAGATAAGATTTAACTAGATCAACAAGTTTCACTTCTCGTGTGCTTCTGTCAAAGAAGACAATAAAAGCTACGTAGAAACAAAGAAAGAAAAGATGTGAAACTATATAAATGAGCATTCACCAATGTATTTTCATTGCACTTACTGGACACATGATCATCACGCATTCATTTCAAATTTCAGGTCTGGTATAAGGATCTTCTTTATCTTTAGAAGCTCATGAATACATACAGTTTTCCAGATATAAGTAAGAGTGAAATGCAGGAGTGGCTCACAAGTGTCTACGGAAATTTCTTTCTTTGAACATGGAATATTGTCAAAGCGCCCACTGAATGACAGGCACGGGTCACCACAAGCGATATAAACATGTAATCAGCTTGAAAGTGGCGTTCTCAGCACTCTACCTCTAAGACAGTCATCAGCTGGAGAACATTTTCTGACTCTGGCTCCTCCTCCTCAAGGTCGTAGGAGATGGTAAAGGTCCACTGTCCTCCTACAGCAGGGAACTATAAGAGAAGGGAGGCATAATGATTACGGTGCAGGAGATGAGCTATTAAATCATATCTTACTTATTATTTTAGAATTATGATATTGTTCTGGAGGGCAGTATTTGGAAGAAGCAGAAACTACTGGAGTACATAGCCAGGATGACAGACGTTTCTTTAGGAGTAACCTTTATTCGAACCTTACCCATCAACGGCAAGCCTGACATCATACAAATCCATGAATTATTTTCCCCCAATTTGCAGGCCTGCTGAAGTCAACTACATTCCACATAACCGAACAGAGCCCCTCCGCCTGTCCATCTTAGTCTGCAGTCTTTACCATTCCCAAACAGAGAAGGATCATTGCCAAAATTGGGAGATTTCTGTCTCCCTGAGGGTCGCTTACTTTCTAGGGGTCTGAACGGATTCGGCAAAGACATCCTCCTCTTGAAAGGAATACGTACACCCTAAGCTAAGCTGGGGAATGCTGCTGGTCAAAGGAAAACAAAAGGGTAGCATCAAAATTTATGTTACAATTTAATTAAAATTGTCTAGAAAAGTATAGTTTTCTCTGAGCAATCAAATAAGCACAGTTTGGATGAAGGTTGCTGTCCCCTTTTCACCACGGGACATTCTTTCCTTCCAACAAGCACGCCAAGCTCCATACGATGCTTTCTTGAAGTCTACATTTCCTGACATGGATGCTAACCTTGTAGAATTGGAAAAAAAGACTGGAATGCAAGACCACTTGTAAGGGCAGGAATCAAAACTGGAACTGCGAAGTGACAGATACAATGCAAATGCTGCAGTCTCTTTTTTATTGTTTTAAATCCACTCCTGCACTGTAAACAAAGGCATTCATAAAGCAAAGCTGACGGTTTGTATTCTGCTTTTGCTCTGCGCTGACACGCAGGGACCCAGCTTTGCAGCTGTCGACACTTGGTGGCCTGTGCTGGAGGAACCTGAGCAGAGAGCCGTTCCTGCCAAGATGAACTGGATGGGGGAGGAGGAGCCCAGATTCCCTCCGGGGTGGCTCCACAGGGACTGCACATGGCTTGCCATGGCTGATTAAACAGGATTTTGAATTGCAGCACTGAGATGTCTTCTAAGAGCTCATTACACGGTGCTCTAGAAGGAAGTGAAATTCAGAAAACTTCTATTCCCCTGATCCATTGAGAAATGGCCCTTCTCTAATGCCTTTTCATATAAAAAATAATAAATATCTGCCAGGACGGTAGCACTTGGTATTATTGTGAGCAATGAGGGGTGAATCTATATGAAAGGTTTTGGGTTCTATTAAGATAAGCATCCAAAATTTCACATAGCATGCTTGTTCAAATCAGCCAGAAACTTTCTCAATAATAGGAGCCTGAAAAGGCAGCAGGAAAAAAAAAGGTTTTATGTGTTTCATAGAGAACTGGGTTATTTAGAATTTTCTAAATTAGCAAAAATATTCATTAGGAGGTAGATAGTGAGTTTGGGAAGAACATTTGGACGTAGGTCTATAACATTCCAAAGCTTTTTTGAGAACCAAATATCTAACATTCGGATTACATTGTTAATTCTTGAATAGGCTTATCTGAAAAGGAGAAAAATAATAACGACTAAAAAATTGCCATATATGCCAAATATAAGGAAATAGAGCTAAAGTTCCATTTTGCCAATAAAGTGCCAACGTCTGTATAAGTTGAACATTCAAGGTTTTATCACCATAAATGGAGTAGAAGAATGGTCACATAACTATTTGATTGGTTAGTTTCTATACCTATTTATGACACTTATAAAATCACGTAATAAATAATATGGGAGAAGAATGAGATGCAGGAATGGAGGAAACACACCAAATATATAGAAAAGAGAGGGGCTTTATTCAGGTCAGTGATCATACAGAGCATGAGCTAAGGAATAGAACTAATTCGCTTTGTCTACTCAGGCTGATACCACTGTGATACTAATGCAAACTTAGGCTTTCATTCACAATTTATGGAGTTTTTCCAGACTATTTCTGCATCTCTGACACCCATACTTAGACAATACGAGAAAGTTTTTGAAACACCTGAATTTTTTTCATGCATGAATCCATGTCTTTCTCCTAAGTTGTGTGAAAAACACCATTTTAAACAAGTGGTCAGATATTTCACCTGAGCCACAAGCTCCCATTGACATAATGTTAGAATCTTTGTCATCACCATGTATGCGAAAAGTGTATGTTTATAAAAGGTGTGTATTGATAATCACATCTCTATTGCTACCAAGCCAATTACTGATTTCAGTAGGATGACATCTTAAGCAATCTTTTTGAAAAATTACTGAAATCAGTTTAGAGGTTGCACCCATAACTTACTCTTCGCTGAGCTGTTGTCATCCACAAGCCCACTCACGGAATAAGGTTCGGGAGCTCGGACTGGGAGGGTAAGGCATGGAATCACCAGTCAGACTCCGGGGAGGTTTTTGGAATGCTTCCGCTTTATTCAGGAAATGCACAGGCTTATATAGGGAACCAGGGGGGAGGAGCATGGGAGGAGCACTTAATGTTTGGCGATATCTTATTGGCCAGACATGGCGGAGTGATTTTTCTTGTGGGAGGAGGAGTCATGGACTAGGGGCGGAGGTGGAGCCTGTTAGACACAGCATCTACACATTTAGGCGAGTTAGCTCAGCCTCAGCAAGGTCTCTGAGTTAGCTTAGGAGACAGGAGTGCCGCGCACCTGGCCCAGCCAGGCTTGAACTTCACCCACACTGAATTATATTTACTTCCTGTTTTTCCTTCACCTCTCTAAAGGGATCTCTTCATAAGCCATGACATCCACTGTTTCCTGTTGTTATTTCCAGTAAGTTGTCTTCCTTGGAAATCCATACCATTGTATGAAAGACACGAAATGAGTTGGGTATTCTGAGAGATACCGTTTGTTGGGATAAAAGCTCTGAGTATATTCAGAGTGTAAATCATCCCTACCTAACAAAAATGAAGAATTCTCTACCATTTTTCCACCTCACCTCCTCCAGATTCCAGATGCTACATTTGCTTGGCTCCTCCCTGTGCCTGTTTCCATGGTGTCTCATAAATGTGCCCTTCAACCTTGGCTCCCTCCATCAAATCAAACGTGAGGATCAGGTTCATGTCTGGCTGAGTTAGGAGCGCCGCACCCACCTCTCATGAGAAAACTCCGAGGCCTATTAGGGCTGGAATAACCCGCCCCGTCAGGTGTGCAGAGATCTGATCTTTGACGGATAAACTGCTCCTCTCAAAAACCTCTAACATCGTGACTCCATTTACCCCAGCCCCTAAAACATACAATCCAAAAACTAACATATAGTGATGTGCCAAATATCCCGGCTATGTCCTGGCTCCACTCCAGCCTTACCCTATATAAGTCTGTACATTTCCTCAACAAAACGGAAGTGTTCCAGAAGCCTCCCCGGAGTTTGTGGTGATTCAGCACCTTGCCCTCCCAGTCCAGGAGCAGGCTTGCAGACAAAAACAGCACAAATGTGTGCAGGGATTAAAATCAGTCATCAGTGAATTTTACTGCCTGCCCTAGTGATTATTTAAGACTATTAAATAGTCCAATTTTGAAGTACGTAGGGCACTGCATTCATTGCCTATTTATCTATCCATCCTAACATCTATTTAGATAAGATTTCTTGTTTTATCTCCTGCATCCAGTTGTCTATCCTTAGTATTCCAATATGTGTTTCTTGAAATAGCATTTGCAAACTCTACATAGCAGTCACTAATGATTCTCTTTTTATTTTTAATTCTATAGTAATACTTGTGCACATATATGGAATACAGTGTCATGTTTAGTTATGTGTACATATTGTGTAAGTGAATCAAGGTATTTATCCATCACCTCATATATCTATCAATTCTTCATGGTGAGAATATTCAAATCCTCTCTTCTAAGTTTGAAATACAAGACTATAAGTTGACCATAGTTGGTCTACTGTGCAACAGAGCACAGGAGTTTATTGTTCTTTTCTAACTACAACATTGTACCCATTGATTTACCTCTCTCTGTACCTCCCTCCTACTCTTTGCAGCCTGGTAACCATTGACATCTTTTCCTCCTCTGTGAGATCTGTTTATTTAGGTTCCCCAAAATGAGAGGATAGGGTACTTGTCTTTCTGTGCCTGGTTTATTTCACTTGACATAAACATCTTCCAGTTTTACCAATGTCAAAACAAACAGTGAGACTTGGTTCTTTCATGACTGAGTGCATTGTGTTCAGGTGCCACATTTTAGCCATTCATCTTCCACGGACATGCAACCTCATTCCATATCTTGGCTATTGTGAATAGTCCTGCAATAAACACGACAGTGAAGATAGTCCTCAGCTTGTTGGTTCCATTTCTTTTAGATATACACCCAACTCTGGCTTTGCTGGATCATAATGTAGTTCTGCTGTTTAATTTTAAAGAAACCTCCTTGCTCCTTTCCCAAATGATTATTCTAATTTACTTTCTGAACAGCCATGCATGACAGTTCCCCTTTCTCCACATCCAAGGCAACAACTGTTGTCTTTTTTGATAGTAACCATTCTAATTGGGGAAAGTAATATATCTTACTGTACTTTTCATTTACTTTTTCTTACTAATTAGTCATGTTGAACAGTTTGGTGTACTTAATGGCTCTTTACATCTCCTCTTTTAGGAATGTGGATTCAACTTTCTTGTACATTTTTAATTGGGTTATTTGTTGTTATCATTTTTTCATTGAGTTCTCTATATGTTTGGAATATTAAGCCCATGCCATATGCATTGCTTAGAAATATTTTCTCCCACTCAATAGATTATCTCTTAACTTGCTTTCTTTGCTGTGCAGAAACTTCTTAGTTTGATATAATCCCATCTGTCTATTTTTGCCTTTGTTGCCTGTGCCTTTTAGGTCTTATTAAAATAAACACACAAACAAACAAAAAGCTTTGCCCAAACCAATATCATGGAGCATGTTCCTGCTTTTTCTTCTAGTAGTTTTATCATCTTCAGTCTTACATTAAATCCTTGAGTCAATTTTTAT